TAAACAGATAAAGCAAATTAGACAAATGGGTATTATATTTAAAACAAGGAGTAAATAGGGGCCCTAAGTTTTTTAGCCTACAGGATCACTTCTGTACAATGCTTGGTAATCATCCCCATGTTGGGGTGCTACACATAGCATTAGCGCACAAGTCATCATATCCTTTTACTACCCAATTACCCTCCCATTAGAGGTTATATAAGCGATTTTAATTAAACGAACTCTATGCATGCATTACCCGTCCCTTCCTTATGGCCCTGGAGGTGTTTAAGACCTCTAATTTAGGCAATTCTAGACTTTCCTAAAGTACTTAAAGGAGAAAAATCCAGGCGACAAGCAAGAACAAATAGGACATTCACATAAAGGCAATTAAAGGCTCACTTTTACCTCCTCACATAAGCAAATAATAGCACATCTCAAACAGCAGGATTTCAGATATCTCAAAGGATCCTTAGAGCGGGATATCTAGGTGAGCATGACAAACAGAATATGCAGCATTGTGTTAAAGCGAGTCGATAAGGACCTAGTCAGTTTGCCTACTGATTTTAGGGCTTGCTGAATTTGGACAGTTCACAAATAACAAAAAGCATAATTTTATAGTTTGCATGATTTTAGTCGCCCTACAGGCTTGCCTAGGCGCGTAACAGTGATGTCCTATAAACATGGTATCTAGTCATTGATCAGGAGTACAGTAAACCAGTAAACAATTTTAAGCAGCCAGTTTGGATCCTATAGGCATGCTGTCTAGCCGTAATAACTGATTTTAGACTTATGGATACCGGTAACTACAGGCAGAAATTGGTTTTAAAAAATCCTATAGGCTTGGCATATAAATGCTGCAATTAGTTTTAAAACCTGATTGACATGCAAAAACTGATTTAAACTTTGTCGACATGTAAAGACTGATTTTAAACTTACAGTCATGTTGTGTAAAATGCAAAATTTATTTTTAATCTCTATAGGCGTGGCATCTAAATGAACAAACATTGCGATAACCTATAAGCATGGTATCTAAATAACGGACACTGCAATAAACTATAGCCATGGTATCTAAATAACAGACATTGCAATAACCTATAGGCATGGTGTCTAATGCAAGTAAATAATCCTAAGAACATAATCTCTAATGCAAGCAAATAGTCATAATAAACCTAAGGACATGATTTCTATCCAGTTTCCCCACAAAAGTTATATAAGAATCCCTCCCTTTTTACTAATTTCCCCAATATCTATTTACAAGAATTATTACAGACCATAAAGAAAATGAATTACAGAATAAACCAAGCTATGCTATAAGGAGCCTCAATAGGCCCAACGTGAACCTGAAAAATCAGGCCTTCAAACAGTCCAAAGTGCCATAGTCTCATGGTGTCCAAAGAGTATATCCTGATATGTCAAAGTTCCCAAGGGCCTCAGGGACCCCGGGCAATGCTCACACCAAGATCCTTTTAAAGAGAAGTAGTTATTTGTATAGTGTGGAGAGGCCAGCCCCAGTGTGCCAAAGTTTAGAGGAATCTCATGGATTCCTAGGCAGTACACACACTGGAGGGGCAAGATCCTAAGTATTCTAAGAGTAGGAGTGGAAGATAGTGCTTGAAAGAGTGGAAAACAGTTTTAAGAAACAGTCCAGAAGTAAAATAGTTTAGAGGTGAGCATAGTTTAGCAGGGGAAAACATTTTAGGAGGGAAAATAGTTTTAGAGGTGAAAACATGTTAGAAGTCTGAAACAGTTTAGAGGTGAAGACATATCAGGAGTGAAAAACAGTTTAGGAAACCTTCTGGACAAGGGTTCAGCAAACCAAAAGCACACATAACATAGTCATAAAACATCAAAGCAAGGATTCACATTCAACTTAATTTATTAGTTAGCCCTAAGTGATCATATGGCATGCTGAGGACAAAAAATTTCATTGAGAGGGGATCAGGGGTTGGGGAACACAGGAATCTTGAATAAAGAGCACATAGAAACATGGTTGTAGGAAAGCATGCTAGTTAACAGGAGATACCTAAGTCTAACAGCCATACTTAAGGGTAGAAATAATTACACTGACTTAAAGCAATAGACAAGAAAAGTTGAAACTTAAACACAGAAGTAAGCTTGTTGACAATAAACAAGAAAGATTGAAATCTGAACACAGAAGTAAACATGTTGGTCTAAAGCAATGAACAAAAGAGCTTGAAACTTAAACAGAAGGTAAACATGCTGATTAAGATGATAAACAGGAAAGAGACATCCTTTGAGCGATCCGATACGGCCCGACATACCTAGGACTCAACTTCCCCGTTTCCCCGAATCGCATGACTCCCTTCATAGGGGATACCCTCAAGAACACCCAATCATCAACTTGAAATTCAAATTCTTTTCGACGAACGTCCACATAGGATTTCTGGCGACTTTGAACAGTTTTCATCCTCTCCTGAATGACTTTAACCTTCTCCATAGCCTGGTGCACGAGATCTAGCCCTATCAATTCTACTTCACCCACTTCAAACCATCCAATCGGAGACCTACACCTCCTTCCATACAATGCCTCAAATGGGGCCATCTGAATGCTAGCATGAAAGCTGTTATTGTAAGCAAACTCAATAAGTGGCAAGTGATCATCCCAATTACCTTTGAAATCCAAGACACAAGCCCGCAACATATCTTCAAGCGTTTGAATAGTCCTTTCTGCTTGACCGTCTGATGTTTTAAACGTCAATACCACACAAGAGGGGGGGTGATTTGTGTGGTACCTAATTTTCGCGTTAGAAGAACCTGGTTCTTCTAAGTGTTCTAACTACAATAGTTTGCGGAATAATAAATACTGAAAGTAAAGTGCACAGAGATTTTTACGTGGAAAACACCTGGCTCAAAAGGTGAAAAAACCACGACCTACTACTCAGTAGGATTTTTCCAAACTCCACCAAAATCACTGAGCCAAAAACTGCATTTACAAAACTCTTTGTAAACCTAACGATTAACTCTAATCCCAGTGTAGCACACAGCCTCAACTGTTGCGACACTTTCAAGTTAACTCTAACTTGAATACCCAATATACCTGTTACAATTGCTTCTAGATAAAGCTAAAAGGTACAATATGAAAACCTACTACAATTGAACTAGACTTAGAATAAACACAATGATGAAACTGGTTCTTCTATCTTAGTTCATGTAGCTTCAGACGTGCACACTTGTATCTCGCATATGTTGCTTGCAAATCAGACTTGATCTTTTTGCTCTCAAATATGCTTAACTTCTGCTTATGTGCATTCACCTGTAAAAGTGAACAATCGTTATATTTATAGAGTTAGTAATCAGAGTTTGATAAGAACTCGAATTGCGGATCCTTTGACAATTCGAGTCCAAGAACAACTCTAACTCCTAATCCATATTCTTGATCCGGATGTAATTCTCTTTTCATAAGGAGACTTCAACTCCTTATCCTATATACAATCTTTTCGATCAGTTCAGAAGATATCCATCAAGATATTGCTGCTTGATCTCAAGGACTTATCTTCTTCACGTGCATCTCATGTGTATGGGCCATAACAACTGTGTCTCCTTAGATGAACCTGGTCCTTTACTGAGTTCGTTTGTCATTCTTCAAAACTTCAACTGATCTTGGGCCAACAAATTCCCCCTTTTTGATGATGACAAACTCAGTGCTTTTACTGATTATAGAACCTGTGGAACTCAGCGAAAATATCATCACTTACTTATCATTAAGGGCCAGATTTAATTAGGTCATAAACATCACTGTTCAGAAAATAGACACAATTTCTTTTAAAGCACAATATCTTCCCCCTTTTGGCATCATCGAAAAGTTGCATAAATATGTGATCTCAGTAACCTAATTAGTACTCATGGCCACTGGGGCAACTGCAAGTGAACACATGCTTTAGTTAATCAGAAATCAACTCAACACAAATACCTATTAAGATCAGAATTAACAAAAAGCAAGAAAAGCTGCATTCATTGATTAGCAAGGTGTTTCTACAATGCAGTCCACAAGAAGAAAAACAAAATTACCAAACCATGAGCAAAAGAAAATAAACAACTAAATCCCAAACTGGGTCACTGAGGGGGTCTAGACTGGTGCACACTAGGACAGAATATCTAAGGCTTAGAAGAGCTGGAGGGTTGGGTTTGTAGCAGATTGAGCATCTGTTGAAGCATGCTCTCATTTTTCTCCTTCTCCTTAGCAAGTTCAGCTCTCAACCCATTCCTTTCTCCCTCCAATTCAGCAACTCTGGCCTGAAGCCTTGCTATCTCAGCGTCATTTGCCCCAACCTCCTGAACTAAGGCTCTGACCTTACTATTCACAGGAGTTTTTACTGAAGAACCAGGTTCAACTGGAGCTTTACTGAGCATATAATCACAAGCTTGAAGGGTTTTGCTGCCAAAATGCTCTTTGCTCGAAGCCATTTCCCACTTTTTCAGGGGAACATTCAATCTTTCAAGTACAGTTGTCAAGATAAATCCATAGGGAATGGCATGAGCTTTTGAGCCATTAAGTACCCTTTCAAGCAGCTTTACAATAAAGGCAGGCCAGTTGATCTGCTTCCCTTCATTCAGGCATTGCATAAGAACCATATCCATATAATTTGCTGTATGCCTTCTTTCCTGTCTAGGTAGAAGGCATTTGTTGACAAATTCAAAAAGCACTTTGTGGTCTGGCCTCATTTCACTTTTCTGAACTGCCCTGGCCTCAGGTACCTCTTCATCTGTTGTGGTGTCACAAAAGTTCCTTGTGATCTGAAGATCAGTAGGCAACCCATCCAGGCAAGGCCACCTCTGCCTTGTATAATCATCATATCCCTCACTAGGGATATCTAGAATCTTGCCCAGCTTTGCAGCATTGAACTTTACTTTGACACCTTTCACTGTGCTAGTCACCAGCCCATTCTTCACTGTCCCATTTGCCATAAACTCTACAAGTGCATTCCTGGCCAATTTTCCATCCATATGAAGAACCATGTCCTTCCAGCCCTGTGCTTCTAGTGCAGTCAGAAGCCTTATCATCCTGGCTCCTCCAGGTCCTTGAGTAGTCTCCCTTTCAGAATTTTCCTCTTGCCAAACATGGCATATCTGTCTTGTTCCTTCTCTGACTCATCTCCTTCATCCTCACTCCATTCATCATCTTCTTCAGCAATTTTCACTTGTTTTCCTTTTGCAGCTGACCTTGTTCTCTTGGCAAGAACAGGTTCAGCAGGTACTGGCTTGGAAGGCTTCTTGGCAGAAGTCCTGGTTCCCTTTGATTTGGTAGTGGGAACTTCCACAGTAGTACTCCTTTCTAGATGGACCTGTTCCATCTCTTCCTCTTCCTCTTCAACCACAGCCTCCGAGCTTTCACCTATCTTTGCTTTCCCTTTCTCTTTCCTCTTTTTCTTACTTTCTTCTAAAGCCTTCTTTAATTCTGCTTCACTTTCCCTGACCCTACTTCTAGTAGCTCTAATCCTAGGAGTAAACTTGGGTGGTGATTGTTTGCTTTTCTTGGTTGGTTTGGATGCAGCAGGGGTCTTTTGTGAGGAAGCCTTGCGTTTCTTTGGGTCATAGCTGGCTCCCACTTTCTTCAACAAGTCAGCCAAACTCTGTTCATCAGATGAACCAGGTTCATCTTGTTGTTTACTTAGATTAGTCAACACCGCAGCAGCCTCACCACTTCCCCCTGACTTCGAGACTCCTTCTTCCCCGCCCCCACATATGGCTAAAGGTTCCTTCTTCTTGTTCTTCCTCATTTTCCCAGAATCAGTCCCACCTACATCTCTAGCAGCCCCTATCAAAACAAATCGATTTTCCTCCCTTTCAACTACATCAGAAAAAACATAGCAAGATTTTACCTCTCTTTGGGTTTCTATAGTTTTGGCCTGTTCAGAAGACCCAGGTTCATCGTCTTCACTGGTGGAGATGTAATCATCAGATTCAGAGCTAGAGTTGGTCTCAGCTGCTGGGCCTGCTTTCTTTTGACTGGACTGAAGCTTTTCATTCAAAGTTTTTCTCAAAGAACCTGTAGCTACAGTTTTTCTTGCTAGCATTTTCTGGCGATGGAATCTAGGTTTGGGTTTTCGACTGGTGGTGTAGAAGATGAGGTGTTGGGTGAAACGGGTGATGGAATGCCAGGATTGTCTTGGGGATTTGTCATGGTGAGGAATTTCTGAAAACCCTAAGAGAATTTTGGTGGTGTGAAGAGCTTTGGAGACTTTCAGAGACGAGAGAGAATTATCAGGGGTTTTGTGAGGAATTGATGATTATTGAGTGGTTTGGGGTTTTTAAGAAGGTAATTATTACTCAGAAACTGCAGCCTTTTTAGCAGTCACATAGAGGTCTAATCAATTTAGAGTTCCGATCTCAGTAGAGATTAATTTGAATTACTAGAATTTAGGAGAAGGTGCCGTTATATTTAGACTTCTAGTTTCAATGAAAGTGGTTCAATTGACCCAACGGATAGGATTGCTAGGACGTTTGGTATATCTAGGACTCTTGCTCATGATTGATAATTAAATTTTTCTAATTGTGCAAAGAATAGAAACATACCTGAACTTTCTCATGAGCATAATTTGATGAACCAGGTTCTTCAAGTGAAACTTCTCTTGATTATGCCTCAAATGTCAAAATAGAAAATTTGTAAGAGATTAGTGAATTGCATAGACACATGTCACAAGAGTATACTATTTACAGTATGAGACTGAGTAGAAATTAGTCTAATATTCACAAAAATTAAGAACTCCTAGCCAAAATTTTTTTTTTTCATTGTGCATTCTGAACTGGACCTTTTAGGTGATCTTAATCATCCCTAATTCCAACCTGTTCCTTTCAAAGTTTTCTCTACTCAGTGCTTTAGTGAAGATGTCAGCTATTTGTTTATCAGTAGCACAAAATTCTATGGAGATTAACCCTTTCTCATAGTTATCTCTTAAGAAGTGGTGTCTAACATCTATGTGCTTGGTCCTTTTATGATGAACAGGGTTCTTTGTCATACTTATAGCACTAGTGTTATCACAGAATATTAATATGCATCCCACTTCTATACCAAAGTCTACTAATTGTTGTTTGATCCACAGTAGTTGAGCACAACAAGAAGCAGCAGCCACATACTCAGCTTCAGCAGTAGATAGGGCTACTGAATTCTGTTTCTTGGTGGCCCATGATACAAGACATGAACCAAGAAAGTGAGCCATACCTGAAGTGCTTTTTCTATCTACTAGGAAACCTGCATAGTCAGCATCAGCATAACCTACTAGATCAAAATTACTACCTTTAGGGTACCATAGGCACAATTCAGTAGTCCCCTTCAGATATCTCAATATCCTCTTGACAGCAGTCAAGTGAGACTCTTTAGGATTATCTTGAAAACGAGCACAAAGTCCTACANCAGGCATTGCATAAGAACCAGATCCATATAATTTGCTGTATGCCTTCTTTCCTGTCTGGGTAGAAGGCATTTGTTGACAAATTCAAAAAGCACTTTGTGGTCTGGCCTCATTTCACTTTTCTGAACTGCCCTGGCCTCAGGTACCTCTTCATCTGTTGTGGTGTCACAAAAGTTCCTTGTGATCTGAAGATCAGTAGGCAACCCATCCAGGCAAGGCCACCTCTGCCTTGTATAATCATCATATCCCTCACTAGGGATGTCTACAATCTTGCCCAGCTTTGCAGCATTGAACTTTACTTTGACACCTTTCACTGTGCTAGTCACCAGCCCATTCTTCACTGTCCCATTTGCCATAAACTCTACAAGTTCATTCCTGGCCAATTTTCCATCCATATGAAGAACCATGTCCTTCCAGCCCTGTGCTTCTAGTAGCTCTAATCCTAGGAGTAGACTTGGGTGGTGATTGTTTGCTTTTCTTGGTTGGTTTGGATGCAGCAGGGGTCTTTTGTGAGGAAGCCTTGCATTTCTTTGGGTCATAGCTGGCCCCCACTTTCTTCAACAAGTCAGTCAAGCTCTATTCATCAGATGAACCAAGTTCATCTTGTTGTTTACTCAGATTAATCAACACCTCAGCAGCCTCACCTGAACCACATCCCCCTGACTTCGAGACTCCTTCTTCCCCACCCCCACATATGGCTAAAGGTTCCTTCTTCTTTTTCTTCCTCATCTTCCCAGAATCAGTCCCACCTACATCTCTAGCAGCCCCTATCAGAACAAATCGATTTTCCTCCCTTTCAACTACATCAGAAAAAATATAGCAAGATTTTACCTCTCTTTGGGTTTCTTGAGTTTTGGCCTGTTCAGAAGACCCAAGTTCATCTCCTTCACTGGTGGAGATGTAATCATCAGATTCAGAGCTAGAGTTGGTCTCAGCTGCTGGGCCTGCTTTCTTTTGACTGGACTGAAGTTTTTCATTCAAAGTGTTTCTCAAAGAACTTGTAGCTACAGTTTTTCTTGCTAGCATTTTCTGGCGATGGAATCTAGGTTTTGGGTTTTCGACTGGTGGTGTAGAAGATGAGGTGTTGGGTGAAACGGGTGGTGGAATGCCAGGATTGTCTTGGGGATTTGTCATGGTGAGGAATTTCTGAAAACTCTAAGAGAATTTTGGTGGTGTGAAGAGCTTTGGAGAGTTTCAGAGACGAGAGAGAAGTATCAGGGGTTTTGTGAGGAATTGATGATTATTGAGTGGTTTGGGGTTTTTAAAGAAGGTAATTGTTACTCAGAAACTGCAGCCTTTTCAGTATTCACATAGAGGTCTAATCAATTTAGAGTTCCGATCTCAGTAGAGATTAATTTGAATTATTAGAATTTAGGAGAAGGTGCCGTTATATTTAGACTTCTAGTTTCAATGCAAATGGTACAATTTACCCAACGGATAGAATTGATAGGACGTTTGGTATATCTAGGACTCTTGCTCATGATTGATAATTAAATTTTTCTAATTGTGCAAAGAATAGAAACATACCTGAACTTTCTCATGAGCATAATTTGATGAACCAGGATCTTCAAGTGAAACTTCTCTTGATTATGCCTCAAATGTCAAAATAGAAAATTTGTAAGAGATTAGTGAATTGCATAGACACATGTCACAAGAGTATACTGTTTACGGTATGAGACTGAGTAGAAATTAGTCTAATATTCACAAAAATTAAGAACTCCTAGCCAAAAAAATTTTTTTTTTTCATTGTGCATTCTGAACTGGACCTTTTAGGTGATCTTAATCATCCCTAATTCCAACCTGTTCCTTTCAAAGTTTTCTCTACTCAGTGCTTTAGTGAAGATGTCAGCTATTTGTTTATCAGTAGCACAAAATTCTATGGAGATTAACCCTTTCTCGTAGTTATCTCTTAAGAAGTGGTGTCTAACATCTATGTGCTTAGTCCTTTTATGATGAACAGGGTTCTTTGTCGTACTTATAGCACTAATGTTATCACAGAATATTGGTATGCATCCCACTTCTATACCAAAGTCTACTAATTGTTGTTTGATCCACAGTAGTTGAGCACAACAAGAAGCAGCAGCCACATACTCAGCTTCAGCAGTAGATAGGGCTACTGAATTCTGTTTCTTTGTGGCCCATGATACAAGACATGAACCAAGAAAGTGAGCCATACCTAAAGTGCTTTTTCTATCTACTAGGAAACCTGCATAGTCAGCATCAGCATAACCTACTAGATCAAAATTACTACCTTTAGGGTACCATAGGCACAATTCAGTAGTCCCCTTCAGATATCTCAATATCCTCTTGACAGCAGTCAAGTGAGACTCTTTAGGATTAGCTTGAAAACGAGCACAAAGTCCTACACTGAAAACAATGTCAGGTTTGCTGGCAGTAAGATACAAGAGTGAACCAATCATACCCCTATACAACTTTTGATCAACTGATGAACCAGGTTCATCAGCATCTAATTTAGTGGTAGTTGCAATAGGTGTATCTATTTCTTTAGAGTCCTCCATTTTAAACTTCTTGATTAGTTCATTTGTATATTTCTGTTGATGAATCATGGTTCCATTGGAGCTTTGTTTTATCTGTAAGCCTAGGAAGAAATTTAGTTCACCCATCATACTCATTTCAAACTCACTTCCCATTAATTTAGCAAATTCCTTGCTCAACCTATCTGTAGTGGCCCCAAATATTATATCATCAACATATATTTGTACAACAAGATGATCTTTACCTTTTTCCCTTAGGAACAAAGTGCTGTCAATTTTACCTCTTTTGTACCCATGCTCCAGAAGGAATTTTGACAATCTTTCGTACCAAGCTCTTGGGGCCTGCTTGAGACCATAGAGAGCTTTATCTAGCTTGTATACATGATCAGGACATTCTTTACTTTCGAATCCTGGAGGTTGTCTCACAAACACTTCTTCTTTGAGATAGCCATTTAGGAAGGCACTTTTGACATCCATTTGATGAAGAGTGAATTCCATATGTGCTGCAAAGGCTATGAGGAGTCTAATTTCTTCAAGTCTAGCCACTGAGCAAAAGTCTCATCATAGTCAATGCCTTCCTCTTCACTATAGCCTTGAACCACCAACCTTGCCTTATTTCTTGTAACTGTTCCATCTTCATCTAGTTTGTTCCTGAAGACCCATTTTGTCCCAATGACTGACCTGTCTTTTGGTTTTGGAACTAAGTGCCAGACTTGGCTTCTTTCAAACTGATTGAGCTCATCCTACATAGCATTGACCCAATCTACATCTTGTAGAGCTTCACTCACATTCTTAGGTTCAATGAGGGACAGAAAAGCATCAAATGCACACAGGTTCTTCAGTTGTGATCTTGTCTTGACCCCAGATGTTGGATCATTGATGATGTTCTCAATGGGGTGAGAATTCAGGGCTCCTATTTTTTGGGGGATACGTACGCACGAGGTGACAGAGCCCGTGCGTAGCTACTATTATGCTTTAGTCCGGGTAGTTTAGGGCCCAAAAGCATGCCTTCTTGTAATACTTGCAACCATGTTGACAAACTTAAAATGCTTAAAACATATCGAACGTGTAAATNNNGCAAGTGATCATCCCAATTACCTTTGAAATCCAAGACACAAGCCCGCAATATATCTTCAAGCGTCTGAATAGTCCGCTCGGCCTGGCCGTCAG